CAACACAGGCCTCCCACAGGCGTGTTCGTGGGCGTATGTCCTCTTTCGCACAGGTTATTTCGCTCCACCTTCAGCATGGAAATTTTCACACTCGAAAGCAGTAAGGCTGCTCACGCTACGCTCTCGTGCTGATTCTATCGGTTCCATCAAGAATTAGGGATAAATGTAAGGACAGGTGGTCAACAGGGGTGCTCGCATCTTGTCGACAATGCGGCTGTGATGTCGTGAGCGCGGTTAAATGGAGTATGAGATCTTAGGGAGGTTTAAAATAACGTTTGCAGGTGCTACGGGCGTTGCTTTAGTTGCGGGCGCCATATGTGCTCTTCCTGGGAAAACTTTCACCCCGACCGCAAACCCAAATGTACGGAAGCTACACACAGCAATTCGCGGGCCACGGTCGCCGCGCACTATTTCGGATTTTCTGCAGGCGGGCCGCGAACGCGAACAGCGACTCGCGTTACAATGCATGTGCAGTGGCAGCTACCGCACCTCAAGGGCTCGCGGTGTGCTATTATATACCTCGCTTATAGTAGCGACATGCTTTCTTTACTTCTGCGTGCGTGTGTGCATAGTCTGTGCAGTAAAGCTGGTAGATGAACCATGCGCTCGCTGGCGTTGCTGGCGTAAGCACTGCTCCTCGGCAAAAGCAAAAGTGGTGGGCGGATTCGATACTCGCCGTGGGCTTTTGTCAATCAAACTGATGGATGAGTGAACTCGGATACAAGCTCGTTGATTCTGAGAAGGCCCGAGTTCAACTCGTGACTGTGATGGTGCCGCTGAGACTGTCATGCGTTTGATGCGGTGAACGCTACACGGCAGCTTCCTTGCATATAAAACATGCGACGCTGCTTTTATCCCCCTCTGTCCATGCACGCGCTTCTGATATGCCGACTGGGTGTCACAGCGTTCGTGTGCGACGCGGACCGCGTGTCACTGGCACACTCGTGCGCATTCCTTGCAGTGCACGTGGGAGTGTTCCCGCGCGCTTGTGGGATGCACACAACGTCTTCGTCGACGAGCACCGCTTGAAAGAGCTCAGCCGATGGTTGCACTGCCAGTCCCCAGTCATGATAAGGTGCACTTCTGCACTCAGTGGAACGACAAATAAATGAAATAATTAAGATGCCTCTGGTTTGAAAACACCACCCAACTTAGCCGACCGTCCTTGACGCAATGACTGGTGCGTCATAACCAATAAATTGCAGCGCGATGAGGGGTGGATTTGACGTTTTTGTACTGTTGGCTCGTTCAAAGGGGGGGGGGGGTCGCCAGAGCTCGGGAAGATCCAGAATTTCGCGAAACTCGGCCGATTCTGCATAGCGCCCTTGGCCTGTAATAACCACGATGGTTGAGGCAGCGCCTCGGAGGCGTTGGGTGAGAGAAGGAGTGCTGGGAGATAACTGAAAAGATATATATATTATGAAATAGACAGAAATTTAGCAGAAAATGTTTTTCACTGTCCAGCCATGCTAGGTAAGTGTCACATAGCCTTGTATTGTAGAGTGTAGCAAGCAACAGGGGGGGGGGGAGTGAGCGTGAGTGGAGATGAAATGTTGAGGGGAATGGGAGAGAATAAATTGTTGCATAATGAATGAGAGAAGATATGGATAGATTATAGAGAAAGAGAAAAGTAGAGATAACCAAAAAGGCAGCTAGACGAACAGAGTAGGATGTAGAGAAAAAAAATAGAACGAAGTAAGAAGCAAGTGAAATGCTGAGAGATGAAGCAAGGTATGAAAGAGGAAGAATGATAGACAATAAAGCATGTAGAGAGAAATAAATAGATAGAAATAACTGTAGAAACAACTGTTCTAATAAGTAACAGAATAACCACTATGAAGTGAAAGCTATATCAGTAGAACTTGCTGTCTTGCATTGCAGCATAAGTGCCAACAAAGAATGCTGGCCTGCCAATTTTGCACTCAAACTTTTCCAACAGTGGCAGCCTACTGCGAGCACCAGATGTATCACAGCAGTGTTTCAGCTGGTTGTGTTTATCCTTGTGTGCCGTGCCAGGTTGTGTTGAAAAGTTATGAAGGCCTGAAGAGCCACATTTTTAGGCACCACCGACAGCATGACGATCCAAGTGATGAACGAAGGAGTGCCCCGTGCCGTGTTCACGTGCCCCGTGCCATCTTGTGAGACAAGCGAATCAACCCGTGCTAGGTTCATGTCTACACATGGTTGCACATTTTAAAAGGGGGACAAGTTTTGTCGCATGCCCTTTCACTGGATGTTCCAGTGTGTTGAGAACAGCTGGATAACTAAGGACTCATATGTCTAGGTACCATCTAACAATGATGTATGGCATACAGGACACTCTCAGCATTCAGAAATGCCAGATGTGAGTGAGACCATTGAAATAGATCAAGAACCGGGCCCTAGCAGAGTCTCCACTCGTTCGCCAAGTGAAAGTGTGGTCGACAGGCATGATTCATTGCCTGATTGCACAAGAGATCCTAAGCTTTTCAGTGAAAACTTGCGCTGTTTCTGTTGAAGCTCGAGTTTGAGCATCATGTGTCTGCAGCAACAGTACAATACATTGTCAAGGAAATGCAGAACATTCACAACCTCAACATAGATATAGCTTTGTGCTGGCTTGTGAAAGCTGTTCCAGCTGATTCTCTTGCCGCCGTTAGTTGTGCGTTTGCTCAGATGCTTTTTTAACTACAGGTTTTTTATTTGATCTTCCTATCGCCGACACAAGTATTACAGAAACAGCTTTTGTTTTGTGCCATCCGCAGATGATAACAGTAGGCATAAACAAGCAGAACATTGCTTCTGTTTATCATTATTTTTCAATTGAGGATCTCATCCATTTTTTGGCTTGTTGCGCGCCAGGGCTCAGCCAAATTTCTCAACAAAATGTATTAGATGACTGCTACTACGATTATGTTACTTGCAAGTCCTTTAAGCGTCCAGAGAAAAATGTTGTTCGCCTCATTCTTTATTTGGATGAAATTGAAATAGCTAATTCAAAAGGCTCGTCAAAAGGAAATTTCAAGCTGCTTTGTGTCTATATGACACTTGAGAATTTGCCATTGCATTGTAGGTCGCTCGTCCAAGGCATGCAGTTAGTGATGCTGTGCCGGCAGAGAGATTGTGAAAAGTTTGGGTTGGACAGAGTTCTGGGCCCATTAACGCAAGATCTAGTCATTTTGAAAAGAAAGGCTTGACGATTAATGGAGGAAACCATCTAGTTAGACTAGACTTCATTACTGGTGACAACCTCGGAAGCCACACAGTTGGCGGTCTTACTCAGCATTTCAGTACGTCTATGTACCTTTGCCGTTTTTGCCTGCTGACACGCTCAGAGTTTTATGAAAATTTCCATGTGATTGGAAATAGTGCACACCAGAAAACTATGCTCAATCATATGAACGGATTGCAAGTTATGAAAGTGTGCAAGGTGATTGTGGTATCATCAGGAATTCCCCGTTTCACGTGTTGGAGCACTTTCATGTATGCCATCCTGGGTTACCCACATGCATTGGGCATGATGTATTTGAAGGTGTGGTACAACATGATGTGCTATTGTATATCAAATATTTTGTCTCCAAAAAAGCCTGGTTCAGCTACGATTACCTAAATAACAGTATTTCTACAATGCAGTACAGAGTGCATGATCTGCGCAATAAACCAGCCAAAGTCCCCAGGAAGGGCAACACGCTCGGTGGCCATGCGTTGCAAAACTTGACTTTGTTGAGATTGTTGCCTATGTATGTTGGCTCAAAAGTAGCTGATTATAATGACCCCACTTGGCAGCTTTTGCTGAAGCTGATGCATATATCTGATCTTGTAATGGCCCCTCTAATAACGTCCGCCCAGGTGGCATTATTAAAGGTGATCATTGAAGAATACATCACAACTCGATGCGTCCCTGTTTCCGAAGACCAAGTCGCGCCCAGTAGCACCACTACACTGCTGCATTATAGTGAGTGTATTCAGGTGTTTGGCCCTCTCCGCCATGTCTGGACTATGAGATTTGAAGGGAAGCACCTTTAAGCAGTGCATAAGGTGCACAAAGATTTTTAAAAATGTCACAAAGACGGTAAGTGAGCAGCATCAGCTTTTCCAGGCACTGCTGGCTGCAAGGGGCTTATTTTGAACTCCTGTTGAGTTCACAGAGGTGGGAGAGCTTGATAAGGTAAGAATATTCAGTGGCGTGAGATATGGTGTAATTCCTACTGACTTTACCCTCCCTGCTCAAGAAAGCAACTGTGGAAGGTATCATTTACTCCATCCACGATCATGTGCTTGTATCAGGTACGCGGTATGAGACTGTCTTCGGAGAAATTGTGGCTATAGTGAAAGGTAGCTGTGGAGACATGTTTTTGCTGGTGAACTGTGTCCATGCGACTTTTGCATCTGCTTTCTCTTTCTATGTGTTGGAAAGTGGCATTAGTGGCACAATACTCTTGCGCCCCTGTCAGCTACTTGACAGAACACCATACAGGCCGTACACTGTTTTTAGTGCCTCAGTAATATGCCTGAACTCTTCATTTCCAGAGGAACTGTAAATATTGCAGCTTTGTATTTGAACAGTGTACACGTGGTTTGTTTGATATTTGAAGTGCAATGTTCTGGGTGAAGTGAATGCTTTAATTTAATGTCTCTCTGAATAGTAAATTTGATTTGCTGCTATACTGGGTCACTAGCCTTTCGTGGTAGCTGTGTCTTGCTTGCTTACTTTCTTTGTGTAGATATAAAGTGTATGCTAGGTGTATGCCCCTAAATGATTCATTATTGTCTGAATTGTGCTCTTGAAATATCTGGCATTATTATTTTCATGGTCCAACTTCTGCAATAAAGACTACATACTGCGAGTGCGAGCTTGCATGTTCGCTTGATGCATACTTATTATTAAAAGTTGCCTCTCCTTATGGCTTGATGGGGCGTGACAGAAGTGATTTTACGTTGTTTTTCACGTAACATATATTGGACAAAGATATTTAGGGTTTCTAAAGAAGCTTGTCTCCTAAAACTGCAGGCTTGCCACAACACTGCCAATAAAAATATGGAGTGGAACCAGAGTGGAAAAAACAGCCTCCGTGGGAACGCTGTCAGAGGTGCTTGGGCTGGCAAAGGGGAAGGGTGTCTGTGGCTCTGCTGATGCTAAGGTATAGAATGAAATGTTCACTAAGCCAAATTGAAACAAGTCTAATTTGATTAGGCTACCTAGAGCATTTTGTTGCATTTTGTGGTACATTCCTTACATGTTTACCATGTGTACTTGATTTGCTATCATTTTAAACCTGTAGTTATTCTAAATTAATTTAACAAAGTTAACGTTTTGTTCAGTATAATTCGAACCACAAAAGAAATGAACCCACTGGCAAAGGCTGGTTTAAGAATTATTTGCACTCTTGTGCTGTTTTGATCTCCTGTGATGTTAAACACTGTCACACAAAAATTGGTTCAGCTCATGTATTTATGAGCAGACCTCGGACTTTTTTTGCAAACGTGCTACGCAAGCATGACTTTGAGCTATATAAATTACCCAACTTTTACACTGATAAATTAGTGTTTAATTCCAGGTCAGGCTTTCTTTGGAAGGTCATGAGTTACCTTATGGCCATTTACTTGATGTGATCTTAATTTGCATGAAATTCAATGGAAATTTTGCTCTTCTATGCACCATTATTGTCAATTCTGAATGTCTTGTTTTCACTTACCAAAAAATTAGTGGTGATGAGGAGAGGTTACTTTTGGCCAGAAATATACAAGAATAAGAAGGATACAGAGCAAATTGGGCAAGCGCTCTTAACTTTTGACTGGTATATACCTCAAAAAGAAGTTATGTAACGACTGCATCTTGCCGGTATTTATCTATGGAGCAGAAAGCTGGAGGATTACAAAAAGGACTCAGCTTAAATTGAGGACGACGCAGCAAGTGATGGAAAGGAAAATGATAGGTGTAACCTTAAGCGACATGAAGATAGCAGAGTGGGTCAGGGAACAAACAGGAGTCAAGGATATTATAGTTGAAATCGAGAAGAAGAAATGGACATGGGCCGCGCATGTAGCGCATAGGCAAGATATCTGCTGTTCGTTAAGGGTAACTGACTGGACTTCAAGAGAAGGCAAGAGGGTGACAGAAAGTTAGGAGGGCAGGTGATAGGAAGATGGCGAGTATAAAGTGGCAGCAGAAAGCACAAGAGCAAGTTGACAGGCGGAACATAGGAGAGGCCTTTGTCCTGCAGTGGGTGTAGTCAGGCTGATGATGATAATAGAAGAAAGTTGTTAACGTTGTATTTGAATGCCTTCTTTTAACTCATAAGCGAAGTTGTGTAATTTGGAGGAATGCTTCAGGTGAAAAGGATCTTTCTATATTCAAAGAATTGAAGTATGAAATCTGCCACTTGTCTTACTAGTTTCTGGGTAGACTTCTTGCTATGAAATGTCATGTGGTTTTATGTATTCCTAATGTCTTAGACTGCAATAAAGAATTAACTTGTGAAGCCCTTAACTGAACTTGTATAGCCCTTAACTGTTGTGAAAATGGAACTACCAGAGGTTCGGAAAACATTACTAGTATTTTATCTCTCTGACACAAAACTCTAAGAGCATTTTATCTCTCTGACACAAAACTCTAAGAGCTTGACTACCATGCACATGATGACACCACCTCAAGTCACATATGTAAGGACATTTGTTACGTCCTTGTTTTATATTATTTGAAACACGGGTTTTTCTGAAGGATTCGACGGAGCTTGAGGACGAAACCTTTCAAGAAATCATGAATGAGCTCCCCCTTAATGACAGGGTGGTGATTGTGGCTGAAGGGGCTCCAAAAACTCGATGCCCTCCATTGTTGTTTGTTTTATCAGTGGTTTTAGACTTGGAATATATTGATTTTCTTACAAGATTTCCAAAAAGAATGCTCTGTTCATTTGCTTTTCCACTCAAAAAGTTCATTGCTTTTACACTCAAAAGAAGCCAGTGTTGTTACCCTTATTCTGGAGCTTTTTTTTTTCTTTAAGGGACAAATTTCAAACTTCCTCTTTAGTTAATTTTCTCCAAGGTCTGGCAGGCATCCATTGAGATGGGAAAATTCATGGCAGGAAATAGCAAGGAGCGACTAACAGCAGAAATAAAAACGTTTGAGACCCTGCTATAGGGGCCTTCTTCACCTAATGAAATGGGTCAAGTAGCATTGGCTATAGTGGTTTTGATGATGTGACATAAGCAACGAGTTTACACCATTGATCGGTTGCGTGAGTTGCAATTGTGTTTACCAATGCGTGAATATGGCAGTACTTTCAGATTAGGCCTTGACATTCTTTTTTGAAATATTTTTGTGCTTTTCTAGTCAATGCCATGGTACATAATGGCTGTGTGTTCTGGCATTGCCTTTGTTGTGATGTGCTTGTTTTTTTTTTACGTCAAAATTGTGCTTGGGCATCAAACTTGTTGTAAAAAGCACGCTGTTCGAACATGCAGTATCGACAGTCCATGGCATTGTACTGGGATTGCGCCAAGACAAGAAAAACGGCCTTAATCTCAAGCTTCTGCATGTTCTGAAAAAAAAAACACTGAACTGCTACCCAGGCAATCGTCACCCAATATGCACATGATTTTCAGCCACCTCATTGAGCCCGTATAACTAATGACACTTAGAACATATCTTTCATATAGAACAAGCCCTCTAGCGCTGCGAGGTCGAAATGTCTTCTCATTTTTATGACCGGTTCATTTCCTGCCAAACCTTAAAAAATGTCACTGGCTAAGTCAAGTCTTAATGTGCAGGCTAAATTTTGCATATGCATGTCACACTTTGAGTCACAGCATTTCGTTAGCATGCTACATAAAATAGCACACCATATTTGTGGTAACATTCAAACAAAAAAAAGGAGCCTAGCTTGTGCTCTCTTCATTGACTATCACATGCCTCTACTTTATTGTACGAAAAAGTCCTCAAGAGTCAGCCTGACTCCTGAGAGATATGTTTATCTGTATAAGAACTTCTGAATGTCATTTCTCTTTTGAGCATAAGTAGCTGCCATTATGTTCTCTCATGTTCCCAATTGAAAGGGTATTTACACGAATTTTCGAAGCCGAGTGTACACTATCATACAAATCTCCTAAATGCCGAGTCAGCTCTGAGCAATTTTGTAAATTGCTTGGTAAATGTCGATGACAAATTTATGTTGACACTAACGACTATTTCACATGGCCCACTTACTGGCATTGACGCTATCATGACGTCAGGCTATGGCATCAATTCTGGTGATGTCATTCGCCAGATTGGCTAGTTTTGATGACGTCAAGCACCAAAGCATTCAAAATGGTCACTTGGCTGTCACTAAAACATTCAAAATGAATCCTTGTACATCACCAATGTAAATAAGAGGAAATGTTACCAATATTTTGTGCAAGTACGCGGCAAAGAGCTCATACTGTGGCATGATGTCAGGGTACAGTGGGAGCTGATACTAGCCTTTAAAAATGCACAGTAATTAACTTTCCAAGGTGCACCTATGCTTACTATTGTTTTTTTTAGTGTTTTTTGGTCTTGGGTATCAGTTGACCTATAAAAACTAATTTATAATTGTAGTGTCACTACCCCTTTAACATGAAATCAGTCATTGTGTCTAATTTTATCCCTGATAGGCTGCTTTTTCTTTCTATTTTTCAGGCACTTCACAGGGGGGCATTAGTTCAACGGGTTTCAGTGAAAGGTAACAAATTACGGGATTTTCATTTCACTTTGAAAGCTTGCCAGAGCATGTTCGAAATGCTCTTAAAGCCCAGAGGCCACTTTCCTGAAGAGAAAGAAAAGAATTGGTGTGGTGTGTAGTTGAGAAAATGACCAGAATATGCTCCAGGCCCACACGAGACTTCATTCGAGAGGCAGCCATGATAGTAGTGCAGGCTTTTCCTTATGCCCTTGAAGATCGTGGCCATAGTGGGGATCTGCTAGGAAGAGGGTATGACTGATTGTTTCAGCAGTTAGAAATGGGAGTTGAAAACATGACTCAGAGAAAAGCAACTACCTCATTAGATGAGCGGAGGTCGAAGAAGCTGGTTAAGTGGTCGTATGGATGCGTTAATTGGTAGCCTGTGAGGAACATGGAACCACCAGAGGGCATTGATGAAAAGAATAATTTTTGTAAAACGAGAGGGCATAGTGGGGATCTGCTAGGAAGAGGGTATGACTGATTGTTTCAGCAGTTAGAAATGGGAGTTGAAAACATGACTCGGAGAAAAGCAACTACCTCATTAGATGAGCGGAGGTCGAAGAAGCTGGTTAAGTGGTCGTATGGATGCGTTAATTGGTAGCCTGTGAGGAACATGGAACCACCAGAGGGCATTGATGAAAAGAATAATTTTTGTAAAACGAGAGGGGCAGAAAAGCCTTAAAGATGTGAACACGGAACTTCGTACAATGTACATGGAAGAAACTTATCCCGAACAGAGGAGTTTCATAAATGCCGATCCTCCTTTCCATGTTTCCCCTGTGAAGGAAGAATGGCCAATGCTCATTCACAAGCCATTCTTTTATAAGCATGGGAATAAGCTCCTCGCCAAGGACGTCAAGGTGCAAAGTGTTTCATTACTTATAATATTGCTCTTATGTCCAAAAGTTATTTATCTTTGCTTTCCCTCTTTGACTTCCGACCGTCACGGAATATAGGCCTAATTGCTAACATTCTAATGAGCCTCGCGCTATTATTCTGTTGTGGTTGCCTCATGAATTGCCATCAAATTAATTTCTTGCCAGCTGACTTGGTCTTACTTTTCAACTTTCAGTTCTTACAGTAATATAAAAAACTACACTTTTTTCACCTGCAAGTCATATTAACAGGCCGCCATGACTCATCCCAGTGTTGGTCACTAAAGTTTTCTCCCATTCACTGACATCTTTTCTCTGTCAATGACCACTAATTTATGCGTTTTAAACTTCTTGTTCAATGTTTTTGTACGATTTTTCTACCTCTTGCTTTCTCTTGAAATGACAAATCAGTGAAGGCCTGCACCATCTTAAGCTTGTACTCTTTAAGGTCTATATCACTTCTACAACCCTCCAATCTAGGCTTCAGAAATCATCTATGTAACCTGGTATGAACCTTTTTGACTATAGTAAGATACGACTTAAGAAGTCTGGGAGTCCAGGGAGGGCTCTCCCAAATGATCAAAGCGTGGCAGCTGATTGCCTTTTCTGCTAAAGAAACAGTCCCGCTACTGCAATCAGCCACGCTTTCAAAAGATTGGTCACATGCCATCTGGCTCTTGACTTCAGTCTGGAACATGCGCCCATTGGTGCAGGCTTTTGCGCATCTCCTTTTGAGTCGTAAATGCCAGATTTCTAAAGATATATCCAACTATATGACTTGAAAACTTAGCCCTGTTTAAACCATTGTTGCAGAGCATGTGCCCTTTATTCTTTATCATCCTTGTACTTTCTTTGTTTCTTTGCACTCTTTCCTAGTTTTCTAATCTCTTTAAGGCTTGTTTAAATGCTTGATACTGCATGAGCTATTTATTATATTAGAGGAAGGTGCAAAATGTTCCTATTACTTTTTTCGTGTGCGAAACTATACACAGTTAATTAAAATTGGACATTAATTTCTACAGAATCATTCTATAGAAAAATAATTTCTAAAGGTTTTCCGGAGTAACATATCACAGTTGAGTTAAGTTTATGCTGGTCAGATACTAAGGGTGTCCTGTCTGCCATCATAGCTAAGGACTTTACTTGGAGACAGTAGCACAAATCTGAATGGACTAGCAACAAACAGCAAACTCCAATGTTTAATCTAGCATTTTTAAGCATAAGCCAAGTGATTCTTATGGAACACTAGGAAATAAAAGTGAGACATTCCTCAAGGTTATGAACAACTGCTAGCAAGAAAGAATTTTACGAACATTAGCACTTTCCCTTATTTCTACCTGCCAGTAATAGATATTTCTTTATATTTTAGGTATATTTGGTAATTGTCTTCTCAATGCGAGTTTCCGCACTTCCTTAGTTTCACCATATATTAGAAGTGTTCTGTGCATTCATTACCGCCGAAACATTTGTTACCCAGTGAAGTTAATTCAGGACTCTGTGATTCAAAGATGCACTATCATTCATCAGTACATGTGATGTTTCAGACAATATTTGATGAAAAAGTGTCAGCGTACACACCACCGCTTATTCAGTACTTGAAGACGGTCCCAAAAAAATATTGTGTATTAGCTGGTGATCATGCAAGAAGATACAAAAAGGCAACACGAATGCAGTGGAAGAAACTTTGCTGCCCCTTCTCTGCGCACATTTCAAAGAAGATGAAAGCCATTTGTTTCAAGTCTTTGAAATGAGTTGCATTTCACTTAGAGGTTTTAAGTGCTGTCTTGAACTTTCATAAGGCATAGAGCACATCCTGTTTACAAGTGTTATGGCTGCTGCTAGACAAAAAGAAGCGTTAAGAAAAGTTTATGTTCAAGAAATTTTTTTTTTATGTTGCTGTATCAGTTCGTGAATTCCTATTTTCTGATGGTGTCATATTACTTCGGAACTAAAAGAGCTTTCTTTAAGGTCAGAAAGCCCACAAAATCTTTACGCACGTTGTTTTATTACTTATTTAAACAATAATAAACAATAATGCCTTCTGTACATATACTTTAGCTCAGGTTGGCCTAGAACATTGATTCTTGCAACATTGTAATCTGATGATACATATTATTTTAATGTGCTGTTGTCTTTTTTAATATCCATTTTTTTAGCAGGAGGTAACTTTTCATGCAGTCCGCACAGAATGTATGAATTTTTAAGCGTATGAAAGCTACTTGTTACACACACAAAAAAAAATCAATTACGACTTCGAGATTTGCATGCAAAATTGCACATTTAGTACAGATATGATTCAAAAACGTCATAAAGGAAAATAATATTTCAATTTTCGCGCTCAGTCGTGCGAAGCTTGGCACATGGAAGCATAAGCAGGCCATACTTGTACTCTCTGTTGTCTGATGCCAAGCGTCAAGATCTGCGACTTCTCTCAAGAGTACGCACTTTTTTAGGATGCCTCTTCACTCTCTGGCCTCGATGGTGGTGCAGCCAGGCTGTGCACCATAGAGCAGAGGTTGCATGCGATGCCTAGTCCTAGGCATAGCTTGCATGCTCAGTTTTTGTTCTCACTCTATTTTCACTGTTTTCTTGATATTTCCTGTCTTTTTTTGCATTTATCATTATTTCTCTGTCATTTTTTTATACGCTCACTTTTACTCTCTCCTTCCCTCATTTTGCTCCTCAAGCTCGGTATCCTTCCATACTTTTGCTACGCAATATGATACAAAGCTATGCTGTGCTCTGCTAGCGTGCTTGCTTTGGATTAAGAGTACACAGGTTAACATCCCGCCCTGCAAAGATTTTCTTAGTAGAATTTTTTTGTTCTATATATGTATATTTCTTTCTCTTTTTCTGTACTCATCCTCTCACCCATCAGGGCTACTACAGGCTCAATGCTACGGTATGAGCCCACAGGTACATCAGCGCACGACTACACCTCAGATCTATGACATGAGACGTAGCAGCGAGTAGTGGGATTTGCGCTGATTTTGTGGTACATTTACCTGTTCATAATGCCAGTAGTTTCACAGCAGGATCAAATATATAAGACGGGCATAAGCAGCTTCACTTTTATATCTGCTCAAGTAGAATGTCCAAAATGTTGATATGCGTTTTTGAGGAAACATGCTCCTAACATTGGTCAAGTGTATTCCTGTTTATTTTCCAGGAACTAGCATCACAGAAAAACTCCCTGAACTGCCATGCACCCCTACTATCATTGCACTTGGTAAGTTCAAACATGAGCTTTCATTGAATTGCTATATATGTCCGAATAATTATGTAGCCTAACTTGCATTGAATTTGCCTCGCATGTTATCACCACATCTGCTGCCTTTATAGTAGGGAGGGCAGGAATGATTGTGATGCCAGGAAAGATTATAATGTGCTCCTTTTTCTGACCATGTACAAGAGTTTCTTTCCTTTGGTTAGGGTTTCTGCTGGCTGTGCTTAAGGAATATAAAGGATACAAGTGTTTCTGTCTTGCGTATTGAATAGGTACTCTTTGTTTTTATCTATATTAACTTGTGAGTACAGCTTTTGATGTGTTCTGATGGTGGAAAATCCTGTCAGTGATAACCACAAGCAGCCTGCACATTCATTGCGTCCCCTTGGCTAGCTTAAGTGAGAAGATTGGTTGAAATGACAACGTAGCACATCGTCCGCTGCAAGTTGTCATCATGAGGAGAAGGTGGAGCAATTTCCATTACCAAACCGTATTGAATTTGTGTGCACTTAAATACTGTGTGGCACCCATCTGCAGCAAACCACATGTCCAATTGACTACTTATTTAAAGATGTGACTTTCGACACTATCTCTGCCAAAAGTTGTTTCTATGCAGCTATGCAAATGACAACCATCTAAACTAAATCTGTGGTGGGCATCTGTCACTGTAGAGCCTTTCAATGCAAGTTATCAAAAAGTAGAGGTGCTTTTCACATAAAGCTCTAAAGTCATGCAAGAACCTACCTAAATCAGCTCTCTAAGCAATGTTCACAGTGTTCATCAGTGAGTAATGAAAGACTTTTGGATCTCCTGTCCAGCTTGCTGCACTCACAAAAAACAGCTGCTGCTACGACTGCAGGAAGACTTGATCTCTGTTTTCCAATAAGTATAGTGTTGGTGACTTAGCTGCATTATGCAAGGAAATGTGCTACACATTGTATTGGCCCTTCGTTGTCCCCAGGATTCTGGCTCACGAGCAGGAGGCACGCTTTCCCGCACGGTGGGGGCGGGGCTCCGCCTCACTGTATTGGACCGGAGAAGAAAACGATAATAACTCCTCTCTCTTTCTGATTTCCTCATTGCTCTCACGGTTTCAAGTAGCTACTGCATGAAACTTTTTTTTGCTGGAGTTACAGTATCGTAGTTGCAATAGTGCGAGTTCCCTAGCTTATTAAACGATAATGCACAGTGCCTATGGGCGCTCTCAGAAATATCGGCTGTTTTACCGCATTTGAATCGCTGCCCTGAAGACGTGCTTGAAGATATCCAATTGCTTTCTGGGATTTAGGTGCTGACATATGTCTAGTTCATGATGGTATAGAGCGTCTTTGATTCACATGCTAAAAAAAAGTTCCCGGGCCAGTTTTGTTCAGGGTGCGACAGCCATCCAGCCCTCGTAGGTCCATCTAGCGTTGGGATGGTCTACTGTGTGGTGCCACGTAAAAATTGAAATAGAGTGCGCGTGAAAAGAGAGGATTCCTGTGGAAGGCACTTATGACCCCGCGAAACGATATTTAGGGTTTGTTGAGGTAAATATCTGTAGTATAGCACATCAATAGGGTATTGTTAAAAAGGATGAAATGCACGTTGCTGAACATCCAGTGTATGTACGACATAGACCCCTCAATTTACAGCACATTCTCGAGTTTTACAGGTTGCATAGTAGTTTTAGCTATCTATAATTAGTTAATTAGTGCTAATTAACGAATGCATCTTAGTTTAGGCTTTGAAAGCGCGAGTAATATTCACTGGGCGCGGTATTACGAATGGTGGTATCAACTCGGCGTCTGCGCCGCTTAAATCCGGCAGACCTCAGGGATCCGTCCTTGGGCCTCTTTTCGGTTTATATGAATAGTGCCACCCGTGATATTGCAGCAAATCTAAAGTTTTTTGCAAATGCCTGCACGCTTTATAGTAGTTAACGCATCTAGCGACCAGGTTCTTTTAAATAACTGTTTGAAGATTCAAGATTGGTGCACAAAATGACAGATGACATTTAAAGTGAGAAAAACTCTGGCGATAACCATGACCTGCAAAAAAGATCCACTAAAATTCCAATACAACCTAGGCAATCAATTCTTGTTCTTTGTCTCGCAGTATACGCACCTTGGTCTTGTTATCACATCTAAATTATGATGAAACCAACGTGTTTGTTATACTGAGAAAATGGCTTTGAATATACAAAGCTACTTTAAGGGGAGATGCTACTCGAAAAACGATTTTCTTTAATAAGAGTCTGAATTTAATACAAATTGGCATGCTAATAGAGTTTTTTCTCCTTTTTTCAAATATGTCATTTATTTTCATGTAGATTGCTTGGTTTTTTTTCTGCAGATCAGATACTGCAAAATTATGGCCATTGTAATGCAACAATTCTGACCTATAAAAATTTGAGATAAAGCATGCAGATATAGCTGACTATGATCCTTTGGAACTGTAGAGTGCGAAAAACTATATAAATTTTGTGTGTAAAAAGGTGAAATACAATAATAAAATAGAGAATTTACTATGGCTCTAGTTGCCAAGGGCTTTCAGTGTTATGTAATTTTTGAAAAACATAATCAAGCAGCACTGACAATCTGAATAGATACTTGCACTCTATGGGCCTTCATCATGCTATGTGCAAAATTTCATAGAAGTATGACAATTATAAGTATACGAACTAGCTTGTATAAGAAGCACAGATCACACAAAACTGCAAAAGAAGAAAAACTCATTTGAAAGTTTGAAACTTTTTTTTTATCACAGAGTTGTTAGAAATGCATAATCTTTGGCCATAATGTTCAACAGAACTTTGAAAAGCACTGCAAGTTACTAGAACTGTCCTGCAGCATAAGTTGTGCCCTCACGGTCCTTGCGAGCACTCTCTTCTAGCCGTGCCCTTTTCACTCCACGACGACGGTGGGCCCTTGCTTCTGCTGTCAGACGCTCGGACATTTTCTTGATGCGCCTCGCATCGCGGGAATCACTGAAAGTAACTAGATCTCTAGATGGCAGTATGTTGAGCTCTTCCAGGATGTGCTCGAAAGTAGCATGACCCTTGTTGAACCACAGGATTGCCATAGCTGCGGCAGTCTCGACAACCGTTCGGGAGACAAACTTAGTCTTGGGGCAAAGAGCCAAATTTTGCTGTTCAGGGATTTCGATGCGTTCTGGGTTTTTCTTTTGATGCATCGAGCAAGGAGATTCTCATCCGTTAGCCGCTTATAAATGGGCAAAACAGCCAATCCCTGTGCTTTTGTCAGGAGAGGTGTGTGGCGTGGTGCAGGTTCACCAAGTGCTTCAGCGCGTTGATGTTTGCACCACGACTCTGTTCCTGCAGGGCAAAACTTGTCGCTGCCAGCATTGTCAATAGAGCATGAGTGGAAGTATGAAGCCCATACTGGAGTGTACATATCCCGTACACTCCCCCTGTTGCTTGTTACGGCAATCTGATAGTACGTTTGGAGCTTCTGAATGGCTGGCTCTTTCATTTTCTGCCCTCGTGGTAATGGCACATGCAGCTTCCGTAGCGCAGTGCCAAGTCTCTTGGCCACATGATTAGTGCAGTCTTCTTTTTCTATATTGACAGCACCATAGACTTTTGACTCTGCAACTGCACTATATGCTTTGCTGTCACCGTCACTCAAGAATGTCATGAAATGCAGTGGGGTGTCATAAGTCAATGTTCTCTGCCAAATGCGCATTGCAGCCTCCATTTTCATGGCATGGGAGGAACAGTCTGCATTTTTTTCACAGACTGGGCCATGGAATGCCTGCCACACTTCCTCGTCTGGGCCCATATCCTTGTGCCTACTGCATGTCAGGCAGTAATTTGATATGACCTCGAAGTCAAGCAGAGGCCAGTATCTAAGGAGATAACTGCGCCAATCCCGTTGTGGCTTTTGTGGCCCCTCTTCTGCCAAGTGCCGTCGAACCTAACAGCCACATCAGTTTCGCCTGCTACTTCTTTCGTCAACTCTCTGGATGGGTGCAAGTTTTCACTCGCAGCTGCCATGGCAGTGGTGTGCACCTTCTTTGCTATCGAAAAAAAATCCTCGGTGGTGCATTGGCTTTGGGAGTCCAATAATGGAGCAAAATCTCGACAATTGTTCATGCCCAATGCCGACAGCGCGTGCAGCCACCACCGCCTTCACATTTACAGCGAAACTATCTCGGAAGCTCCCACTGTCGTACCGTTGGCTCACTCGGCTGCTGCCGTCCGCCGTAACACGCAGTGACGTATAGGAGCACGAAAGAACAGTCGCTGAGCATTCGCTGTTTTCGCAATGAAGTTCGAGGAGCGACGAAAGTTCCTTGCGCTTTTCTGCCGGCTCCCAAACGGCAAGTTTTTGAATACCGCAAGCAGAACATGCCGCACCTGCCACAAGTGCCGTCAGCAAGAGTGTGTCGCACAAACCTCATCGCGCTGTCTTTCGTCTTTTTCGAAGAAGCCGGGCTTCTTTTGCGAAGCACTGACGAAAGAAAGCGCAGCGTCAATCCCTTCATCGCAGCCACTTCGCTCGCGCACTCGTCCATGCCGCCGTTCTCGTTCATGCCGCCCGAACGACAGTGACGAACGTTCTCGTTCGTCGTTCGGGGCGCTTTACGCCGCCTTCCCTTGAACTTGTGCTTCGTTCGAAACTTCTGCGGTCTCACGTTGCACTTTTTCGGGCTTGTCATCGCGGAAATATGCGTAGACGCGCAGAAAAGCAGACGGACCAAATGCCGATGGCCGCCACCAACACAGCTGACAATGACTCGGTAGCCAATGGCGATGCGGCTTAGGGTGCCGCGCGTTTCAAACTGCTTAAACCACGTGATAAAAAGGCCTCGTTTTTTATTTTTTTTGCCCACGTACGAAACTGGCGGTCGTCGGAGCTGTAAGAAGGCCGGACGCAACTTTCCCAACCGATCGAGATGGCGGGCGGCACTGCGACGGGGAGCAGCGCGCAGTCAAAGATGGCTAATAACGGCGCAAATTCACGAAATTTTGAGCCACTGCGATGCCTTCATACACATTTTTTTGCATTTTGCGGTTCGAATTTAATTCTGAAATTTTCACAGATGAAAGAAGAATGTTTGAAGATTACAATGCAGTAAAAATCAGAAATACAAGAAATTTCGCTAAAAACGCGATTTTTCGACTCGCGTCTCTTTTTAAGACGGGCACTCGCTATGGCATTCGGCAAACCTAAATGACTGCATGTGAAACGTACATAATGCCAATACTAGGATATTCATCGGCTGTGGCTGTCTGGGACCCGCACACGTAAGCTAACACAGATAAACTTAAATCAATACAGCGCAAAGCTATAAAATTCATATTCAATACCTAAAAGTAACACATCTCCGTCAGTTCTTCTTGAAGGTGCTAAACTAGAAACGTTGCAATGGAGACGTTATCGCGAAATAACGACGCTGTTCTATTGCATATATAATAATAAGCTGGCAATACAAAAAAATTATTTATATTGAACCAGTTTTGCACCACGAAACGCGTGCCTCCAATCTTGAAAGAGTGACTGAGCCCCTATATACAGGTACCTTTTTTTCTTCGAACAAGCAGAGAGCGGAACAATACGCCGTGACTGAGCCCCTATATACAGGTACCTTTTTTTTTTCGAACAAGCAGAGAGCGGAACAATATGCCACCAGAGATCCTTGAGAGTCGATCTCAACTAGTTTCTTCGAGCTTTAGCTGTTTCACATGGCTCATAACTACACCTTCATATATGTTACAGTGCGCTTCATTTTAATACCCATCTTGATCAGACTGATTGCTTGAGGTTTAATGCCTCGCTTGAGGTTCAATGCCTGGCTTCTGCACGATTCTTAAATGCTTCGATTCTCCAATGTCTCGCTTCTTAATATTGCCGACTTTTTTTATGCTACGGTTAATATTTGACTTCTTTTTACTTTTTACCCAAACGAAATTACCTAGTGGACATTGTTCTTATAGTTTTTTGTTTTGTTTAGTGTATTATGGCCATTCTTGGGATTGTGGACCATGTTTTATGTCGCTTCTATTTTTTGTTTTGCGTTTTGAATCATTGCGCTTTCGTTCAACACTATCTCTACTGCTGTACCTCCTACACAATGTTGCGTCCACTGCGCCACACACCGCTGCCTAATGTCCGGCACTAGACTGGCACTTTTTCTCTAAAATAAATAACAAATCTGTAAATAAATAAATCTACTTCCTTTTTTTTATTGCGCAACTCTCCAATTCAATGATAGAAATAAAAAATATTAACGAAAGTAAGTTACAAGAGAGAGATATAATGCTGAAAGGCGGGGAGGTTGAATTTGTTAGGAACAAAGAACCCTAATTGCATTGTGTTATGTCCACGGTAGCCATAATACCAAGCGTACGTAACAGGAAACTGAGTTTAATACTTTCAAGGTCAAAATGGTCCAAGCGCTGGCTTTCGAGTCCACTGTGGGCCATAAAAGGGGCGAGGAGCACAAAGGACAGGCAACCAGTGCGCTGGCGCACTGATTGCCTTGATAGTCCGTGAGTCTCCAGGCGCTTGGCGTCCAGTATCGGGGGGGGGGGGGGGGGGGTAAATGTGGAGGACAGGGTGTGCATCCCTGCATCCCTGGAAGCGGCAATGCCCGGTCTAAAACCTCTCCATGCGTTTTCCGGTAGAAGACGGGATGGAGGGGCTTTAACTTCAACAAACCAAAACTCCGGCTGAAACTTTTTTTTTACGATGGCCGCCGTTCATTCGGGCGTTCTGGGAAACTTGCCGGGGCGACCACTGGTTTTTTGTGGAGCTACCGGCAACGTGAGGCACCTTCCTATTCTGGTGTAATCTTTCAAGGTGGTTCTCGCAGAATGGCTGAGATATGTGTTCGCGGCTCGCAAGGAAACATGAGATTCGCCGATACCTAGCCTGTCTGGCCCATTGTGAGTTGGTTGACAAAAAAAAAAAGTGCAATGCGCCGTTGTAATGAACCCGCAGAGTATCTTGCAAGAGCACGTTTTAGCTCTACCACGTAGCGTTTAGCCTGTCCGTTTGTGGCTGGGTGGTTCGGTGCAGATTTAACCACTGTGATGCAGTTGTCACTCGTAGGATTTCTGTATTTTGGCTGACAGGAATGCGATTCCGTTATTTGAAACAACTTTGTGGGGTAATCCAAAAGTTTCGAACAACAAGCATAGGAAATCGATGGCAGCTGTCGATGTTGTTCTGTTCACATGGCGACTTTCAACCCATTTACTGTAGGCACAAGAATAGGACAGCAGCGCAAAACTTGCGAACGAACCAGTGACTAGGAATGCTGCTATCTCCTGGGATAATCACTTGACCAGTGACTACACATGGGGGATCATAGCTTAGTGTCTTCTTTTGAAAAAAAAGTAGTCCGGTTTTCTAACGAATGTACGTGGTGTCCAATTGTTTTCTCAAGTTCTTGAAAGCTTTTATAATATATTTCTGTAACATAGCCTAGGCTTCTGTAAACACAAGTAATGTTCATGGAGCTTTCATCATATTGTAGCTGCCTTAAGCATTTAGTTCAAAATGGTTCATATTTATTTATTGGTTTCTTTTTTATCTGTTCGCTGTGCCAGCAGTGTAGCCAGAAACTTTTTTTGAGTGGAGGCTTTGCCGTTCCTTATGCATGCTGGTGCATCTCTTTGCATGTGTGTGTGTACACAAGCAACTCCTCACCCCAGCACTGCCTATGCCAGGGTTTGTACGATTTTTGCAGCTGAAGTGAGTTCTGACACCAATAAGACACCCAAATTGAGCATTCCTATGGTTTTATGCTTGAAAGAACTGGAAGAAGTTACTGCAATGGTAACGTTTGGTCGGTGATGGGCTCCATCTCATAAAGAGAAAATTGTTGTCGAGGGTCGATAAGGACAAGAAATGAAAGTACATGTGAATACTTTGTTTTTTATCCTTTGTTTGAATGTATACAAAGTGAATTTATTACTGATTACTGTGCTTGAGCATATGTTCCTTACTTCTGTTATGATCTTGGCATTTGCATCTGTTTTTAGGTATAATTTGTAAATTTGTGCATGCCATATTTCTTTTATGTTTGTTTCGAGATATGTATACAGGTTGCGCACATTTTTTTGGCGGCTTTCATGTTTGATTTTTTCCCTCATTTATTTCAAATGTGTGCACAATGAATGTCTAACAATCTTTTTATTTGTTAGGCACATTGTGTAAATATATAATAATACAGTTTTACAAAAGAATTTTTTGTGAAACGAGCTGCGTTGTATTTTGCATGTGCATTTTTTACTACAGAAGACAGCTACTTTTATTGAGACTATCACTTCACACAGGTACTTTACCTTATCAGTGGAAGGTATAAGGGAGGCAGTTCTAATTCTCAAATCAGGTAACAAAAGCTTAATGACCAACCATCGGCCCGATTCTTTTACCAGCACGTGCTTCTAACTATTATGTAATACTTCGTAATCAAAAGCACCCTCAATTTTCTTGAAAATAACATCTTCTTTTTGCCTTCACAACATGGCTTTAGGAAATCATAATCATGTGAGACTCAACCTGTACCTTTCACTGATCTAATTCTTGATCGTTCATCATCCCCTGACTGCATTTGTTTTGGATCTTGCAAAAGCATTTGATAAAATGTGTCATAAACTTCTCATCCACAAGTTACTGAACTTAAATCTTGACTATAACTTATTAAAATAGGTCGTATACTGTCTTGCTAATCACTTACATTACGTTACTGCTTACGGCTACAGTTCATAAATGTGCCATATTATCTCAGGAGTGCCCCAAAAGTTGGTAATTGGTCTTCTGTTGTTTCTAATATTGTTGACCTACCCTCTCAAGTAGCTTCTAATATCCACCTTTTTGCTGATGATTGTGATACTTTTACAGCAGTTACTTCAATCGACTATTGTAATTGCCTACACTCCGATTTAAATAAAATATCTAAGTGGTGCAGCTTGTGGCTAATGGAACTAAATATTAACTTATTTAAAGTTAAGCATATATTTAGGTCACCCAACTCTTCTCGGTTATACTACTTAAATATTTTCTCTTGAGATCAAGTAGCCTCATACAAAGGTCCGGCGCGTCAAGGGCGTCATCAGCAGGCTGCAGCTGCGTGGCCGCGGCTGCTCCACCAAGTGGGCCCTCCGGCTCAACCAGGCTGCGGCGTCCTCGGTCCTCCTGTACGCCTTCCCGCTGGTGAGCCTGACACCGGCCAGGAGACGCCTGCTGGAGGGACTCCACAGGGGTGCACTGAGGGCCATCCTGGGGCTTCCCAAAAGCTCGCCGGTGGCAGCAACTCTTGCAGAGGCAGGAGAGTGGCCCCTGTCGTTACGTATGCTGCAACGAGCGCTGGGCCACATTGACCGCCTTCACCGCGCCACCGACGGCAGGGCGTCCTGGAGCGTCTCCGCAGCCAGCCAGGATCACGGATGGGAGGCCTCTGCCTGCTGTACCACCAAATGGTCCCCAGATCCGCCAGTTCCGGTGCCTCTCCACCGCCTCACCACCAGCCACCAGAGGTCCACCTCTGCTTGGAAGGGGCAACCAAGCGACGAACGCCTGCGGCCGCACTGAAACAGGCGGCCTTCTGCAAGCTCCAGGAACAACTGGATGGACGGCTGCAGGTGTTCACGGACCTGCAGCTGTGATGCCAGACGGGACCGCAGCGGCCGCATGCGTAATCCCGTCCAGAACCAACTGCCGGCAGTGCAGGCTTCCCTTCCCGGCGAGCTCCACGGCTGCGGAACTGGCTGGACTGCATCTCGCAGTAGACCTGCTGGCTGAGGACATCCCCTTTCAGCCGGCCGCGGTTCTATGCGACAGCAAGGCGGCCCTGCAGACCCTGGCCAACTCCCGCCGTGCCGGACTGACGGCCTGCCTCCTGAGAGCTAAGGTTCGCGCCCTCACCGACGCCAGGGTGTCCGTCTCCTTCCACTGGCTGCCCTCCCACGTGGGCATCGCTGGAAACGAGAAGGCGGACACCCTCGCCAAGGCTGCCCACCAGCCTGGTACTCCCTACTCCTGTGCCGTGGCGGCCAGGGACTATTCACAGGCCCGTCTCAAGAGGCTCCTCATCACAGCCCACCCAGACCCGAGGGTGGCCGGCGGGCGAGGACCAAAGCCTCTCCCAGAGACGGGCCTCACCAGGAGACAACGGGCCTCCCTATTACTACTGCGGACTGGCTGCGTATGGACGGCGGCCCGCCGCCACGCCAAGGGCCCCTGTCCCTCCCCGGCCTGCAGCCGCTGCGGAGACCCAGAGACCCTCGAACACCTCCTCTGTGCCTGCCCTGGCTTAGCACGGGAACGCTTGAGGGCCTACGCGGCCTACAGGAGACAGGGTCTGCCCGTCTCCACCCTGAAACACCTGCTGTTCCCGTCTCGTCCACATCCAGCAGCACTCCGCAGCCTGGCGGAGTTCGTGGAGGAGTCGGGAATTGCCGCCTACCACTGATCCCAGGAGCCATGCTGCCCTTGCCCTTGCCGACGGCCTGCTGCTCGCGCTGAAGCGGCCCGGACATCCCTCTCTACACTCCACCACTATTTCTCCTATCCTCTTTCATCCCCCTCTACCCCACCCAAAGGCACTGCGCCGTGTCGCCTGCAGGCAGACAGAAATTAGGTGCCTTCTTCCTTTTCCACATGAACCACTACCACCACCACCATTACGGCGGGAGCAGGTTTTTCTTGCCGAAGTGCCGGTGTGTGGACAAGTGCGGAGGAGTAAAAATTGTGTCTGAGTCGGATACTTGGCACGATTCCTACACTGCTTTCTGCAGAGATAACCACAGCATGCAGCAGTGACCCAGTGCTTCCATTTTGGACTCGCTCACTACATATAAGGCCTTATGCTGGCTGCTCTCCGTCTCATCATATTTCGGTTCTGGTTTTACTGGGCATTTGCTATTGAACATTCTTTTTTTTGTATTCCCTTTCTATGGTGTGCCTGGATGTTTATTCACTTGTGTTCTTACCGATGAAATGGGCACACGGGAGAGGTTTTGCTACATGATTCATTTCATTACAATAAAAATTGGCAGATCCCACTTACATTGGGAATCGATGATATGCGAAGCATGCACTAATGAGAAATGTTGATATGTCTTTAAAATCAGCACAACCTTACGAGGTGCAAGTAAATGATGTCGTACATGACTTCCGTGTCATGATTATCATGTTTGAATGTGTCGTTTACCTTCGTCATCTGTTCATGTCGCTTTGTACCAAATTTATTATATGTGGAGCTAGCAAACCGGCACACTATGCTATGAGCATGGTATGAGCTATGCCATGAGCACGCTATGAGCATAGTATGTTGACATGTCCCTGCATGACACGCGTGTCAGGATTATCATGTTTCCGCCAGTCATATATCTTCGTCAACCATTGACGTCACGTAACACAGAATTTGGAATATGTGGAGCTAGCAAAACGCTGGCAAGCGCATCATGAAGGGCCCAATATACTCTTATGTAGCGTTGACGCTCGAGCACACTGGGCTCAGCGACGCTACGTTAGCAAAAAGCGAGCACTGTATAGTCTGACGCCAGGTGCGACCAGCGTGCCTCGGCACCGCCTGATGGCAACTGGCATGAAATGCGACATGCTGCATTTAGTGCTGATGCGTTACCAAGACAACACTGCGTCTCCCTCTTTTCAATATGGAAGGAAAGCAGGCGCGCTGATACGTGAATGCGTCAAAGCAACGCAGTGTGCCAGCGAGTATATGGCAGGACCGGCGCCTGGCGTAACAACGCAAGCGTGACGCGGCGAAATGAATGTGGCGAGCATGCGCACCGCGTCACGTCAAAATGTATTGCCGCCTTGACTTAGGCATGTAGTCATGCTCTCACATGACACGCATGTCATGATTATCATGTTTGCACCAGTCACATACCTTCGTCATCCAATTTGTTGCTGTAGCATTCATTTATTTGACCTTGTGGTGAAAAAATGTACAGTAAACACTCAACTACCTCTGTGAAGACAGGTTTTACTTTCATGTTTTACCAATTGCTAGAAAGAGAGATCAGCCGCATTTTCGTCACTGTTTTAGTGGCTTCGAGTTTAAGCTGTGGCTCGGGCCACGTGCTCTGCTATTCGCATTTCATTTGACGCAGATAAATCTTTCTTGTTGTGTTGTTGACTTTTGACACATAATATGTGTGACCTTTTCCTCCTTCCAGCATTTGAAGTATTCTTCGTCGGTCAGGTCTGTGCAATGCTATCTTCAATCACAGGTTTGATCATGTTCATTGAACAGTGAGCCCGTGCAGGTAGGTGAACTGATCCATGGATGTCACGAGGTATGTTAGTTTCTCTCTCATACTTGGTCTTGTAGGTTACTTTGATAAACAGGTTGCATGATTCATAGTTGCATCTAGTGTCTGTGAGTAATTCTGATTTGTGTATACATTGTGAACCCTTTTCCGCTCGTTCATCACTGTTTTCACCATGAATCATATAATAAAAAACGACATAAATAAACCCAAGCTTAGATTGGTGTGCCCCCTATTTGGCAGGCGATTAGTAGCAGTAGAGTATAACTTGTTTCAGAGCTAACAGTGGCAGTTACAATAGCGTTCAAATGAGGAAGTCGTATTAGTTGTGGTGGAGCAAACCCTGCAAAATCAGCTGTACTAAGGGCAGCAATGTGTGAATACTCGACTAGTGGCCAAAGCTCTAACGATACGTTAACACTCCAACATGATCTAAATAGCACTTCAACACGGTGTAAGCTCTGGCTAATGGAACTTAACACGTCTAAATGCAAAACAATGAGAATTTCACGTAATCAGTTGGCCTGCCTTACTTACTCACTTAAGAAAACTCCCCTTTATGAAGTACTGTGCTTTAAATACCTTGGTGTGCATAAGACTAATAATATTTCTTGGAAAAAACACATTGAACACATAACGTCGAAAGCTAATTGCATGCTTGGTTATCTTCAACGAAATTTTTCTTCAATTCCACCGAAACTAAAACAGCAACTTTATATCACCTATGTTAGATGTAACCTTGAATATGCATGCTCGATATGGGACCCTGGCCATGATAGTCTGAAAAACATAATTGAAGATGTGCAAAATCGAGCAGCCCATTTCATCCTTCACAATTGCCATAAATCTGCTAGGGTCACTAATATGAAACTAACACTTGGCCTTCATTTCCTTTCTTGTCGTAGGAAGTTAGCTCGTCTTTACCACTTTCACAAAATCTACTATCATAACCATGAGCTCAAGTCACGATACATTACACCAGCATCTTATATCTCCTCACGTGTCGATCATCCTTGCAAAGTTCATGTACCTTCACAGCGCACAGCCTCCTACTCATATTCTTTCTTGCCGAAAACATGTCACAAGTGGAATCGCCTGCCTGCGTCACTTGTCGCTATCTGAGACACAGGTCGTTTCCGTAAAGCACTAACAAATGCGTTATAAGCCTTTACCAAGCTGCTCCCCTACTGCAGTTGCGATTTATTGTTTGATTGCCACTTACTTTTTACATGTATTTTTTATTGTTTTGTTCTTAGTTTATATATTGTCTTTTCCTGTGTTACTTTGTATGCATTTTTTGTCATTCTAATAATCCGGTATGTTTTCGTTACTCTTCCTGCATAACTACTTTTGTGTTTATTTATGAACATAAGTACATAACTCAAATTTCTTTGTTATATTATCAACTGCCATCCTCTGTTTACCACTGCTTTATTATGTTGCGTCATATCAGATGTATAAATATACTGTTATTTGTAACTATTTTTGCTTGTTTATCTACATTCTTATATTTTTCTTCCGTTATAAAATTATTTTTCCTTTATGTTTTATTGTACTGGAGATATTTGTTTTTGCATGTATCGATGTACCTTAGCCCCTCCCCTCTATAATGCTTCTTGTAAGCCCTGAGGGTATCAACAAATAAATAAATAGTTGCTATCTTTCTACAACAATGTAAATAAATCTTCGTTCCACCTCTCTCAACGCGTCCCCTCACTGGCGACAATGGGCTATGCGGACGATGGCGGGAAGCGAGCTACCTTAATGAAGCCCGCCGTTCCTGCCATCGACCTCGAGCCCTTTACAGCCCTCTAGTTCTAATTGAACCATAGTTTTCCTTAAACTTAGAAACACTACTTAGTCCAAGTGACATGCTGATTGTTTCATTCTTGTGCCTTCTTTGCTACTGGTTGTTCTTCAAACTCTTTCTAGCTGATGATTTAACGGCACTGCACCTGAATCTACTTCTTTAGTCATCTGCTCACCAGCAATCTTGACATCAACGACGATTTTCGGATGCTTTTGGTTGCTCGGCTAATACAAAAGAATTGATTCTATTCCACTATCGCATCGACAGGAGTCTGATCCAACAGACCTTGTTCTTGGGCCTGAGTGCCTCCACAGGCTTTCACATTTGTTCCCTTCCTGTGAGCAGCTAAATCATAGTGGTGTTGAAACGGCAACACTGCACCCGGTTATTTCCAAGCCTTTGAAAGTAGCGTCGTTCAAACCACCGAAATTTCCTTGCGGCGCGTTCACCTTCACTTTGTTCAGAGTCTTCTCTAATAGCTTGCGTGCCGCCTTTGTAAACATTATTTGCTGTTCATTCATCGAATGATGGGTTGCCTGTATACCTTCCTCCTTTTCAGTCGTAGTTTCGGCTGTGACTGGGAGCTTGCATGTGGCTTTGAATGTCAGCTAGGTTTCTTCGAAGAGACGTTGTCAAACAACCCATTAGCGACACCGAAAATCAATTGTGCATAGATCATTTCATCAAGTGCAAACTTGTCCTCGCCGAACCGACAGTTCCAGGCTGATCTACGCAGAGTGAGCGGGTATATAGTTAGAAAAGACTCCCCACACTCTTAAATGGAATGACCCTCGCTACTTTAAAGGAGAAACTGATGTCCCAAATGTTCATCATTGAACGGAGGTACTTTCCCTTCTTTTGCCTTGGAGAAACAGTTTTTCCCCTTCAAAATGTAGATGGCTGACCACGAGTTAGCGAAGCGACTAGGCCTAGCGTGTGCATCACTATTCAGCTGATAAGAAGTACACGGCACTGATAATCACAAATATTGGTCGCGCTGTGTTTACTGTCGCACGACATGACAATCAACCAGACAGGCCTGCGGTGATGAAAGCCTCGTGAAACAAAATGATGAAACTCGTACGTTTTGCTCGCCCAGTAAGACGGCATTCGCTTTGAGAAAGACAGATGCTGTGGAGTTCTCACCCAAAGACTGCATGGTCGGCTTGCTGTTTTTATTTTTTGAAGATTCACTCATTGTTGCGATGTCATCAAAGCGTTTACGGAACAATAGACAAGATGTGCCTTGAAAACGTACATTTGATCGCAGGAAAACAATTCTGACGCCGCAGTGCATTAACATGAAGGAAATTAAGCTACGAGAGGCCCTTGCAATGCGAGCTGCAGAGGAAAAAGTTTGGCAGA